GCTGGCTGGAGAATTCTGGGAGTTGAAGTCCACGCGTCTTAAAGTTGCCAAGTTTGGAGACCTCTGAGCTAAAGCGACCCTTTTCTTCTCCCGAGATGCTGAAGAAGATTCAGATGAGCACTCAAGGATCAACGGGGTCAGCTCCAGCCTAGCGGTGATGCAGCCCATGCCAGACACTTCCAAAAATTGTGGATGTTTCCGCCGAATTGCTGAGGAAGCAGGAATCCTTCCCTTTCCGTTCAGGACTACGCAACCAAACTCTCACCCCCTTTTCTCTTTTTTGGGGGGGGAGAGGACACAAATAACAATTCCCCTAAAAGAGGAGATGGAGACAGATCTCATCACCGAGACTCGAACAGCAAATAAAACAAGAGGCTCTGAGCTCTGGGCTCCCCGCCACTGTTTCTATTTATACGTGGAACGCTTTCCATCTTCCCGGAGCATCTTTGTCCTTTGGGGAGGGCTTCACCCCGCCCGCCTCTTTGAAGCAATAGACCCCAAAGAGTTTGTATTTCTTGTCGGGGAAGCCCAGGTTGCGAACACCGGGTTCCCGGCCCCCACAGCGAGACCTGGGGTTGACGATGGGGTAGCGGACGCTTCCATCCCCAACCCAGCCGGCCTCGCATTTGTCCAAAAGCTGGATCTTCCAGGCGGCGTAGAGTTGGCCCACTTTGGCCACCGTGGCTCCGTTTTGCTTGCAGGCCAAGACGGCTTCGGGGAAGCTGAGTTTGCGGTAGGTTTTGAGGAAGAAGACTTTGCCTGCAAGAGATCAGGAGGAGAAACATCAGAAAAGGGTCAGGATCGGTTAGGTTTTTCCTGTCCGATGTCTAGGGGAGACATGATAGCAGGGTTCCAATATATCTCAGGGGCTGCCCCAAAGAAGAGGGAGTCAAGCTATTCTCCAAAGCACCTGAAGGCTGGACAAGAAGCAATGGGTGGAAACTGGGGCGGGATTCAAAATATTTCACTACCGGTTCTGTGGGTGTGGCTTGGTGGGCATGGCAGGGGAGGTTACTGCAAAATCCCCACCCCACTAACCTGCTTTCCAGCTCCGTTCTCCTGTGCAGGGCAACCAAAGAAGACCCAGCCGGTCAGCTGTGACTCAATGGGAGGCAGAGAATAGATGGGGGCGGGGGCAGGGGGGGGCAGTCAGAGGTGGGATTTCTCCGAACTACTCAAAATTTCCGCTACCGGTTCTCCAGAACTAGTCAGAACCTGCTGAATATCACAACTCTGGTGGAAACTAATCAAGTAGAGAAGCAACCTAGAACTAAGAAGAAATTTCCTGCTAGAGCAATTAATTAGTGGAACAAGTTGCCTCCAGAGCAGAGGTGGGTATTCAGCAGGTTCTGACCAGTGCTGGAGAACCGGTAGCGGAAATTTTGAGTAGTTCAGAGAACCGGCAAATATCACCTCTGACTGCAGAATTTTTCCCCTACCACGCCCACCAAGCCATGCCGACAGAACCGGGTGTAAAACAATTTGAATCCCACCACTGCTCCAGAAGTTGTAAATGCTCCAACACTGGAAATTTTTAAGAAGAGATTGGACAGCCATTTATCTGAAGTGGTGTAGGGTTTCCTGCCTGAGCAGGAGGTTGGACTAGAAGACCTCCAAGGAGCCTTCCAACTGTGCTATTCTATTCTATGATCCAGGGCCGTTTTAACAGCGTTATGGGCCCCTGGAAAGCAGTGCACTGGGGCCCCTACGACAGCTATTCAAAGAATAAAAATGTAAAGGGTCGATAAAATGAAACATATATATTTGCATGTTGGTATTAATTTTAAAAGGCAGTAAAATGTAATAAATACAGTATATTGCTGTATTTATATGATACAAGGTGCATTGAAGGGTTAACATACACATATTAGTATGGGGCCCCTATACTCGTGGGGCCCACGAGCAAGGCCCCATCAGGCCCACGCGTTAAGACAGCCCTGCTATGATCTGCAGCATATACGTGGACCTTTTAAGGTAATCCTCCACTTACAACCATTCATTTAGTGATCGTTCGAAGTTATGACGCCACTGAAAAATGTGATTTATGACCGATTTTCACACTTACACCATTGCACGGTGTAAGGTTACATGATCAAAATTTGGATGCTTTTCAACTGGCATATATTTATGATGGTTTCTGCGACCTTCACTAACTAGCCATGCCCAGTTCCTGCAACCGTTCTTCATATGTTTTAGCCTCCAGTCCCCTTATGTGCATTTATTATCATGTAATCACGATTTATTTTTGCCTGAGCCTAAGCATTTTCTTCTTAATTTTGGCAAAAAATTGCTGCTGGTGAACAATGAGTTTCTTCTAACCACTGCTTCAAAACAGGTCATCATATTGGGTTGGTCATGTTGGTGACCTGCCATTGTGACTTATGACCATAACGAGAAGGCTCCATTATGGTCGTAAGTCGAGGACTACCTATATCCGGAGGACAGCCAAGCGAAGATTCCCAGAACAGTCCCAGGTGAGAAGGCATCAAGGGACAAACATCATCAGGGACAATGACAACAAAAAAAGACATATTGTGTAGCCGCTCTAATTTTTGTTTTTAGAAGAAAATCTGTCACATTTTTTATTTATTTATCTGATTTGTCAATCGCTTACAAGGTAATAGATATAAGTATAAACATGAGTGAGAATACAGGAAATAGGTACGAATAAATGGGGACAATAGGACAGGGATGGGAGCCACAATGGTGCACTTATGCACACCCCTTACAGACCTCTTAGGAATGGGGTGAGGTCAATAGTGGATAGTTTGAGGTTAAAGGAGCGGGGGTTAGAGGATGTGACAACAGAGTCAGGTAGTGCATTCCAGGCATTGACCACTTTGTGGCTGAAGTCGTACTTTCTGCAATCAAGATTGAAGCGGTTTACATTGAGTTTGTATCTGTTGTGTGCTCTTGTATTGTTTGGGGGACAGTTTAAATTTGGCAAAGCAGCAATACCGAGAGAAAACAACACAGCAGGCAGAAAGTATAAGGATGATAAAGCATAACTGCACCAACCTGCCTAATGTCCCTGTCCTATTGTCTCTCATCTTTCTCTTGGCAATGCCCCATAGATTCTCTATGGGGTACAGGTCAGGTGAGTTTGCTGGCCAATCAAGCACAGTAATCCCACAGTCATTGAACCAGGTTTTGGTGCTTTTAGCAGTGTGGGCAGGTGCCAAGTCCTGCTGGAAAATGAAGTCAACATCCCCATAAAGCTCATCTGTGGAAGGAAGCATGAAGTGCTCCAAAATCTCCTGGTAGACAGCTGCGTTGACCCTGGGCTTAATGAAGCTCAGTGGACCAACACCAGCACATGACATAGCTCCCCAAATCAACACAGACTGTGGAAACTTCACACCTGACTTCAAGCATCTTGCAGCGTGTGCCTCTCCATTCTTTCTCCAGACTCTGGGTCCTTGGTTTCCAAATGAGATGCAAAAGTTGCTCTCATCAGAAAAGAGGACATTGGACCACTGAGCAACAGACCAGTTCTGTTGTTCTTTAGCCCAGGTAAGACGTTTCTGACGTTGTTTGTTGTCCAGGAGCGGCTTGACAAGAGGAATAAGACATTTGAAGCCCATGTCCAGGATCTAGTCTCTGTGTGGTGGCTCTTGATGCACTGACTCCAGCCTCAGTCCACTCCTTGTGAAAGTCCCTAACACTTTTGAATGGCCTTTTCCTGACAATCCTCTTCAGGCTGCGGTCATCCCTGCTGCTTGTGCACCTTTTTCTTCCACACTTTTCCCTTCCGCATCACTTTCTATTAATGTGCTTTGATACAGCACTTTGGGAACATCCAACTTCTTTTGCAATTACCTTTTGAGGCTTTCCCTCCTTATGGAGGGTGTCAGTGATGGTTTTCTGTACAACTGTCAGGCTAGCAGTCTTTCCCATGATTGTGATTCCTACTGAACCTGACTGAGAGACCATTTAAAGGCTCAGGAACCCTTTGCAGGTGTTACGGCTTAATTAGCTGATTAGTGGGACACTTTGAGCCTAGAATATTGAACCTTTTCACAATATTCTAATTTTCTGAGATTGTGGGTTTGGGGTTTTCATGAGCTGTAAGTCATAATCATCTCAATTATGACACATCATGGCTTGAACTATCTTGCTTTGCATGTAATGAGTCTATCTCGTATATCAGTTTCATTACTGAAATCAATGACCTTTTGCACAAGATTCTAATTTTTCGAGTTTCACCTTTATGTATCCATGTATTCACAATTATGTTTTGACTTATACCTATTATCTCGTAAGCAATTGACGAAAGGAAGGAAGGAAGGAAGGAAGGAAGGAAGGAAGGAAGGAAGGAAGAAAGAAAGAAAGAAAGAAAGAAAGAAAGAAAGAAAGAAAGAAAGTGAGTGAACCTAGCCTGGGCATGCCTCCAATACACAAGGGAAAATCTCAACCGTTCAGCCTTGCTGGCATGATCCAAATGGGCAAGATGCAATGTGAGCCTGGCAGCATCTCCAGGGATCTAGCGTGAAGCTGCGAGTTGGATCATGAGTGGCCTGAAAGGTGAAAATTGGAATTCTGCACCCTTAAAGTTGTAGAATTTTTCTCAGAACCCCCCACCCCACCCTTCCTTTCCAACTCCACCAGGAGCTATTGCAAACTTTCTCATTCTGGGCAACTTTAAGACGGAAGGACTTCAACTCCCAGAATTCCCCAGCCAGCATGAGTTAAATCCACCAGTCTTGAAGTTTCTAAAGTTAAGAAACAAGAGTCTAGCGGAAGGAGCTTCAGCATGGCTGGCTGAGGAATTCTGGGAGTTGAAGTCCATCCATCTTAAAGTTGCTAAAGTTAAGAAACACTAGTCTAATGGAAGAAGAAATTATAAAAAAAAATGTAGGATGCTTTCATGATCCTCTTGGGTGACTGGTTCCTGAAATATAAAAATGCTGCACACTGGGGCCATTAGAGTCCTCGAGTTATGACTGCAATCAAGCCACGTGGCGGTCAAATGACCAAACCTATTCTATGGCATTTTTGGTGGTGGTCATTAAGTGAATATCCTGGTCATAGAGGGGCTGCCATGGGCATTAAGCAAACACCATAGCTGTTAAGCCAAGCCATTGTTTACCCATTGTTGAGCCATGGTGGTACAGTGGTTAGAGTGCTGTACTACAGGCTACTTTTGCCGACTGCCGGCTGCCAGCAGTTTGGCAGATCGATTCTCACCGTGCTCAAGTTGACTCAGCCTTCCACCCTTCTGAGGTGGGTCAAATGAGGACCCAGATTGTTGGAGACTATAGGCTGACTCTGTAAACCGCTTAGAAAGGGCTGTAAAAGCACTGTGAAGCGATATATAACTCTAAGTGCTATTGCTACTGTGGTTTTGTCAAAATTCAGAAGTAAATACCGGTTCTTGGCAAAACCATCATAACACCTGGTCATGTAATTGTGGGGATGCTGCAAATGTCTATCCATCCATCCATCCATCTTGCTAAGTGCATGAAGTTTAGTCAGGGGACCACAGAGATGCTCTGGCCATAAGTCCAACTACTGACTTTCAATGGCCTCTAAGCAGAGGTGGGTATTCAGCAGGTTCTGACCAGTTCTGGAGAACCGGTAGCGGAAAATTTTGAGTAGTTTGGAGAACCGGCCAATACCACCTCTGACTGGCCCCGCCCCCATCTCTTCTCTGCCTCCCATTGAGTCCCAGCTGATCGGCTAGGTCTCCTTTGGTTGCCCTGCACAGGAGAACGGAGCTGGAAAGCAGGTTAGTGGGGTGGGGAGGGGATGGGGATTTT